GATTCATGAAGATGAAGCGACGGCCGATCGGGTATCCGCAGCCACCCGTTGTTCGGCACAAAGACGCTCCTGATGACAGTCATTGTATCGCCATAGATCGGTCCACCTCGTTCCCGTAAAAAAGAAACGAAAGCCACTTCTGGAAATCTGTGAGAGGTCTTCATCGGCGGTCAATAGGACCGCCGATTCTTCGGATGCATCTCATACATTATATATAAAATCTGCTCTGGGAGAAACAGGCAGCTGGATTCCCGATGGCCGTCGGGCCCGGAAGTGCTGCGATGGACCTCAGCACTACTTTGAGTAGTGCCTATCGATATAATCAGAACATGATGGAATATTACACTTGTAAGAGATATTCAACTCTACATGTATTTTTTAAATCTCGCTAGTATAGATGTTTTTTGAATGTTTTTTTTTATCTTCTTCTTTTATTCTGCTGATAACACACGAGAATAATCATCCGAATCTGTAGATCTAATATTAGATATATTTCAAATTTAATCATAATATTAAAATGTATTGCTATGGAAAAAACGATTTTATTAAAGTTATTCTAAAAATTTAATTAGATACAGACCCGAATGTAATTTGGTTAGACCATCAAAATAATTATGTAAGAATCTCAATGATGAGCAATGTTGAGCAAAAAATTTTGACATTCTAACAATCAATTATTTGAATATTCTACAATTATCTTGATAGTCCAACAAACAACAAAATTACTTTCATATCTAGTTAAATTTTTAGGTATTTCAGCAAAACGTCTTTTCTGTATATAATATTATTCCCAATTGCTGCTCGTTTGCTTTTAATAATGACAATCGAACAGCAATTTATTTTTTGAATTTGTCATCTCGGGAATTTTAATATTGTTCCCTTCAATATTATTAGATACCTTATTCAATTTTTCTTAATCATTATCTTGTTAGACTATTAATAATATTGCGATATATGTATATTTAATAATATCGGATGTAAAATCGCCATGTTTCTATTTGTTCATCAATTCTCAGCTGACTTTAATAAATATTTGCGGTAAGCCACAATGATAGTGGCACGATTTTAATAGATATCCAGATATAAATGGATCTAACCTTGGATCGGAGACTTTTTCTTCATATGAGAAGTTTTTCCATTGCTTTCAGTTTAGCGCTTATTCTTTATATTGTGTATTTCTTCTAGCGCGATTCAAAACTGTGTATAAGTTCGATATAGATGCAATTGTTAGCGGAATAACTAATGCAAAAAGTATCGCGAAACACGACGTTCTCACGTGGAAAACGATTCTCTCGGGATCACACGATTTCTCTTGCGGAGTTCGCCGACGGACCGATTAAATAGAGCAAACAAGATGAGAGAATCGGAAAAGACTCGCAAATCCGATATTCTGTAGGTAAATGAGAGTGTGAAAACAAGAAATTCAATGGCCTTCGATCACTAACTGAGCCGTAGCGGTACCGGTACCGACGAAAAACTAAACCGCAATCATTGTAGCCGACGATTTGCGTAGGAGCTATTCGCAAAGACCTCGAAACTCTCTCTTCCCTTGAAGATTTATAAAAAAAAAAGTGTGCATCCGATAGTTTCTATAATAATCGGCTTGATTCCTCTTTGTAAAACATTATTAACCAAATGATAATAATTTGTTTATAAAGAAATGAGAGAGAGAGAAATATGTAATGTAGTTTTGTGCAGAATACGCAGATTATTATGTGAAAATAACGAGTTCTGATCCGTAAACATTTCCACTCAATCAGTAGTCCGGTCATATTAATTATACGAACGTCACTTTAAAGTTGCAGTAATTAAAATCATCGTACATTGTGTTCATGAGCGCAGCTGATCCGTAAATGTAATAGAACATTAATAACTATGCAATATTAACAGGAATGATGGCAATCACTGACAACCAGCCACGTGTTGTAAAATCATCTCTAACGAGCCGTGTGCTTTTTCACATAACTTTAGAAATTCAAGAGTATAAAAATTTGTGTTCATTATGTATATTATCTTGTATGATAATTACGTTGTGTCATTATTTGTTACATAGTCTACCAATAAGAAAATGTAATTAAATCTTTACTATCAATGATATCGGATATACTTTTTAATTAAACCGTTCTGATTACAATAGCAAAATTCTAAGGCAGCGCCTGCTATACCAAATGAATTACATTTCTGCACGTATTTTTCCAACCAACAGATAATAAAGTCCGTCATATTCAGGCGTGTCGGCAATACATAACGCCAAGGCGTAACGTAATACGGGAACAAAGCAGCGCGATGTTGGAGAAATATCGAGTGACTGTACAGGAATCTATATCAAAGTTCTTGGCTTCCAATATACACACCGAGCCACCGATCGTGTATCACCAAGGCTCATTTTATTGGCTCTGGAGCTTTCCAGGACCAGTCCTCGATTCCTAGCACATACAAATGAAACGGAAGCTGTGCAAGTTTTCTTCATATGTGTGTAATCAAAATTTTCCATGTACAAAGTTTAGATTCTCTTAATAGACATATCTGAATCCGAAAGTATTAATCTATATATTTCGTAAAATTGATAAGTTACAATTATCATCATTGCATTATGAATAATTTTATTCATTTAAAAATGTAAACATATTTTTTTCTAACCGTTATGAAGGTTTTTTTTTATGAGGTCTGAGAAATAAAAAAACAGAAATCGGATTGCCATTTCAATTCAGACGATGAGATTTCAAGGATATCGTTAGCACGACAGTAGCCATTGAGACATGGGCACGTCCGTAATGAGAATGTAATGGCGACTCGACCGATGGGGATCGCATTTGTCCGGAAGTAGTCCGCAGCAGCTCGGCGCACAGCCAGGTCATCTTATTTTGCATCGACGTTTTTATATCCGCGGCTCGAATCGCTTAGGATTGATTAGGAAATTGGCTTTCTCTCTTCGATTGTCAATTGAAACGATAATGATAAAATCATAAATTCGATTTTATGGAACTTGAATGTAGCTCGACGAAATTACGTGCGAATCGTTGATTGACGGTCGTGAGCGCATCCTATCAAGTGATGCTTCATTGAATAAGAGACTTATATTGAAACACTTCGAAGCAGATAAAATGAAAAGTAACGCATATGATCGATCTTCTTCGGGATAGTCAAAATCATAAGCTGCTTTGATTTTTTGTTTATCATGTTAGCTTTCAGTAAATCTCGCAATTTTTTATGTAATATCGGATATAAAGGAAAAATTATTGCGGGATATAGACAATATAGAGAAATGCAATTACGTGGGACGAGATGCTGCATCTCTCGATTCGACGTATCCCAGAAGTACGGAACGGTGGCAATAAGCTTCAGTAATACAGTAGCCAGTTCCAGCGACGGTAGCAAAACCCGTAGCATTAGCAATAGTAGTAGCGGTAGCTAGTCGATTCGGGGGTGGTCCAGGCTGGACTCAGAGCCCTCGTATAGCTGTGGTCAGCAGGCGTGACGGCGTGTGTGCGTGTAGGGTAGTCATGGTGCTTTTGCCCTAGCAATGCCACCATGATCCCAACGACTATCCCCCTGACTACCGGCCGCGCCACAGGGATGCGACCATAAACGCGAGAGCGAATTGATTTGCGACCGGAAAGCGCGTATCGTTTCCAGTAATGATCGCGGAGACCTCATTGTCTTCGTGCGACGGCGAGATCATCGAGTGAGCGATACGATATACGGTCAAACGGCAAAAAAACGTCGTGGTTCACGCCTCATAGATCGCGGTGTTACTGTAATTACGAAACCCCTCGAATGGAAATACGAACGCGCGAGCGATGTCGATAGCGATGACTCGTTGTCGTACGTTTAATTCATTCCTTCAAATTAGCTTTATAACGAATGGAGGAAATGTCGAAATCGTAGAGCATAATTGTAATTGGAAAGCTTGAGTGTATAAATAAAATAATTCTTAGGAATAATATAATATTTCTAGTAACAAATCTAGGAATTATTTTATTTATAACGAATAAAAATAATTCCTAGATTGATCACTTGCTCATTCCAACAGGAATGTATTAATTGGAATAATTTAAATAAAAAAAGTAAAGAGTATTCAGCCCGATTGTTATAAGAGCTAGTTAATTTAATTCTGAAGGTTCTTCGAAAACAACGGTGATCATCGAATCATCGGTGCATTGGCACGAACAGAGAAACATATGTCGCGACGCAGAACCCTCCATTACGATATTGGCTCCAACTTATCGCATTAGGCAGCTTTAACGCGCGAAAATGAAGCCTGCGAATGCGGCGCTATAGAACAGACACGAGTGGCAGCGGGGTGTAAACTAATAATAATGAATGCTCTCGCAACATTGACCCTGGAATATTTCTCGATGCTGCGAAAATGATTAACTAGCAGAAATATTAAAGTTCGCGTTATGTTTCCGACGCATTCTATCGTCGCGTGCTTCATTATGTCACTATATGACTATCAGATATCACAGATTTATACCTATGTCTATAAATAAAAAAGTATGTTAAATATACAAGTAAATGTGCAATAAATCATTACTTTTAAAACTACTAAAGCGTGAGAGACAAGTCGCTCTCTCAGAAAGTCTCGTCGACGAACGGTACGACATTCTTTCACGGAATCTGTCAAGTGGAATAATTCCGTGGCGATAGGTCGCTCGAGAGAAGATTTACATTGGCATTTGCGATCCGTTCTACCAGCTTCTCTTAACGATCGTGGATCTAGCACGCGCGTGAAGCCTGATTCACACGCAAATCGCGTTTAACACTGTGATTTCACGGCGGATCATTCATGGCTGATACATAAACCTTTTAAATCCGTACGCGACACTAACACAGCTTTTAAAATCGAGATAGAATGAACGATACTGATGCGTGTTTTTGTTATATCAATACAGAATATTTTTTTTAATATCAGCGTTCATATCATGTTGGAGTTTATTGGCAAGTTGAAAGAGTTAAGTCTTAGTCGACTAATGCATTATCGATCTCTATTTTTCCAGGTCATGGCGGAGTCAACCAACTCGGTGGCGTCTTTGTGAACGGAAGGCCCCTACCGGATGTAGTCAGGCAGAGGATCGTCGAGCTCGCGCACAGCGGCGTCCGACCGTGCGACATTTCGAGACAACTCAGGGTATCTCATGGCTGTGTATCCAAGATACTGTCGAGGTGAGTGCCGTATTCTTCCCATATCCGTTACAACTGCAGCCTCTTGCCGAGTACGGTCTCGTTCCGATAACGATGCGCGAGGTGGGCAAAATCATTAATCTAAATGCGCGAATCTCTAAAAAAAAGTTTACTTAAAGATTAAAAGTTAAATACAATATCTTATTTTAAAACGTAATTTATTTAAATAAAGTACTGTAAGTAGTGTAAGTATTCTGTGCGAACAGTTAACTAAAACGTATCAGAAATGTATAATTGTCTCTGAAAATCGCATTTGCCAAGTTCGGAGAGCGGATAATGAGCAAACAACGTCGCCGAAGGGCAAGTGATTTATGAGAGAATCAAGTTCGTCTTGCCAAATGCCATGCCGCAATTTCCGCGCCGCGAAGTGGCCAAGGTCGTTCGAATCGCGGATGGAAAGAGAGAAGATGAAAAGACAAAAAACTGGAGAAAGAGAGATCGCTCTTTCCGAAGCAATTTAATTAAAGACGCTTAGAAACGCGAAACGAATGAATTCGAGGAATGAACGAAGAGACGACGACGCCGGAAGGAAGGAACCAGTCCTCATACCCTCGCGACGCGGGGGTGCTCGACGATATGCGGTTTCCATGTTTTTTCCACCCTCCAGACCCCCGCTCCGCTATATAACGGGTGGCCTCGTGCCGCTTTGATGGTCCGAACGTCATTCGCGTCCCCCGACCGAATATCATTGTCATATACGCGCTCTTTCATGAATCTCGCATAATAAAGGCCGACTGGATTATTTACTGCCACGACTAAAGTTACCATTTCCTTTTCCTTTCTTCGCCACAGACCCCTTTTCGAGCTAGGACAGAGTCAGAGAAACGAGATTTCATCATTAACAATGCGAGCGTCGTGCACGATCCGTCGATCGAATTTCATTTGTGTGTCAAAATATGAGAGATCAAATTTCGGACAATTTAAATCTTCGATCTCAGCATCAAAGGATCCGGAAGTTATGTCACAAGTGCTGAAAGGTAATAATGTAATTTTTATTAATAGCCTGATACAAGTGCTACGGTTTTCGGGGTTCCGCGCGCTGCTAAATTTAAACGTAGACAGTGGGAGGACTTAGTGATCGTGTCATCTAAATACATACTACATAGTTTCTTCCGCGTGGTGTGTGCGGATGTGACCCGGACTTTATGACCCGAAAGTACAGTGAAAACATAGATTCTGTCGACGACACTGACGCGACATCGTTAACACCAACGCACGGTTTATGCAGTCACGCGTCGCTGATGGAACGAGAACGCTGCGCGTCGCGATGCTCCGTTCGCCGAATTTTATAAGCGAAACCGGATACCGGGACTTTTTCGACTCTAGGCAGTCTAGGCGAGGGTTCGTAAAATCATCGACGAAGACGGCGTTGAAAAGTCCGGTGACCCCATGAAATCGAGTCATCTCCCGTTTGGAAAACCTTTTCTGACTGTCGCGTAGGAGAGATACAAAGTGCTCTTCTTCTTTAGGGTTACGTTTGAAGGAAGAAACGCGAGAGGGATCGTCGTCTTGTTGTCCTTTGTGTTATACACTCGTGAGGTCCGCTTCTGTATTCTAGATACGCCGCGGATTCTAGAGATTATGTGAAATGTTACGACTCGAATCTTGGAAAAAGTCTTTTACTAGCGTGTAAACTTGACAATATATTTTTTCTCTCACTCGCGTTATGACATTACGAATATGTGTCTTATTAACGGTAATTATTTAGAATACGGACTGCATGATTTTGATGAAATTAAGTTCATTCGAGGTGTTTTTGCTCAAAAACGAAAAAAACTGTTAGAAAAAACGTTGGGCCCCATGAATCGAAATATTAAGCGTTAAAGTTGATGACTTGAGATTAAAAAATATGTCACAGAGGCAAAATGAGATCTATAATTGTATTGTTCTACATGGATTTCAACTTTCCATCGCAAAGCGATTCTCATTCTTCTCCTGCAAAGGGGCGACTTTTATAATTGTACTGTTGTTGAAGTTAGAAAATCTGTCATGTCAAATCTGTCAAATCTGACAGATTTTTTAATCTCAATAGTTGTCAACTTTAACGCTCAATATTTCGCTTCGCAGAGCAGTTCCGGACTTTTTTGAAGGGAGGGTCAGAGTCGCTTCGCGTGGGAAGTTGAAACTCATGTAAAACAGTACAATTATAGACCTTATTTTGTCTCTGTGACAGATTTTCTCAATAGTTAACTTTAATATCTCGGTTCGCGGGGCCATCCCAGCTTTTTTTTACAGATTCTTTCATTTCAAAAAAAAAACGTTCAAATAATTTCATCAAAATCAGAGATGCAGTCCGTATTCTAAATAATTACCTTATTAATTTATAAATATTGATTAGCAATAGATTAAATTTTTCGCTTTAAATCTAAATACGCTTTAAATCTGAATCAGTGAAATTCAATATAAAAAGAAAGTTTTGATTTTATTTTTATATAATTAAAATACTGATATTTACACATTAGTTCCGATATACTAAAAAAATTACTAAATCTTAATATTCATATTTCTTTGAATAGTACTAAACAATTACTAACTAAACATTTACTTACAGTAAATAAGTATTTATTTAATAAAAAAAATGATAATTAAATCAAATTAATGGTTTTTATCAAATAATTATTATATGTTTACATTTAGTGAATGTTTACTTGGAATTATTTAAACAAATATTTATTAGTATTTTTTTTTAATGTAAATTGAATTTATATATAAAGCAAAGTTAACTAGATTAGAGATTCCATTGATTTTATTGATTTAGTTGAATTTCACTGATGACTTCATTGATTATCAATGGCATAATTGGGTTCATCAATAATTATTGACTGATTCAGATTTAGAACTCATATTCTATTGTATTATTACTTGAATTATAAACGTGCATGTTTCGTTAACCTTTACTTAAAATGTTAATGTGAAAATCAGCATGAAGTATCGTGGCGTTGTAATGATAAACGTAAATAATGTCATTTTTTCACGGAGATGGTATTTTCGATTTCGCGCAAGACTGTTTCGAATCCATTTAAATCTGAATTAATATAGCAAGGGTGAGTAACACGCCGACGACGGCAAGGCAATTTGAAAAATCGCGCGATCTAATAGCCATTTCACGGTGGAGGCGGAACAAAGGGGACGAAATATTAACGGGTGAGCATTGCCATGTGGGCCTGAAATGGGGTTTACACCAGATATGATCGCAATAATTTGGTGGGGGTGACGAGACCCAGGTCTGTGTTGAAGGCTATCCGATTGTGTAATAACTTTTAGCTATACATTCACGACTATGTGTTATATTTCAACCATACGATATAAATAGCACAATCGATAGTTCAATGCAGTCTCATAATAACAAAATATTTAAAATTTTTCCCCAAAGAGTGACATCATTCATTTTGTAATAATAAAAACATGTTACATTTTTAATTGAAACTTTCATCCCTCTACAACAATCAAAATTTATATAAAAGATCAAATTGTCGCAAAGAATTATAATTCGGCTCAACAATCCGAAACCCATTTTTCCTGTGACATGCAACGCAAAAAACCTGTTACGACGCTTTTATTCGCGCAAATATTTTTCATCGAAAAACGCGAAGGTCTAATACTGGAGCATGTTCATGTTCTGCAGTACACGCACACGTACACATGCATGCACGTAAAATTGGCCAGATATCCAACCGGTATGAGCCGACGTTGACGTCGATTCCGACGCCGACGCTGACGGCGGCGGCGGCGGCGGCGGACCCACATCCATCAAGGCGGCCCACAAGCGAACCATTATTGCGGGCTATCCGACGTAATTGAATTTAAGCACGAGCGAAGATATTATTTAACTAATTAGGCACAAAGGGCGCGTTCACGGCGGGCCAATCGCGATTGCCCATCTCGCGCGCATATATACGCACCCCGCCGGTGGGAGGCCCGGGAGAAGAGAAACGAATGAGAGAACGAGAGGGACGAAGAGAGATTCAAAGAGTAGAGAGAGGGAGGCAACAGCGGGAGGCCAGAAGCCGTTTGTTTTAAAACAGCCGGTCGTTGACGCGCCGCTGGACGGCGATTCGTTATTCCGACGTTGGCCGCCCACCGCGGGAAAAACGTTCGTTCCTCTCTCTTTTTCCCCTCTCGACCTCCCGTGTTCTGTGATAGAGCAAAAGAGAAAGAGACAAAATGTGAACTTTGGCGACCGATTTCTTGTCGACATTGCGCTTTCGAATACAGTTTAAGACAGATCCAAAGATTTCTTTCTTCCACGTGTTAATTGCAATTATTTCATAAAATACAATATAAAATTAATTGTAATGTTACATGAATTTTATTTTGTAGGTATTATGAGACCGGTAGTTTCAAAGCCGGTGTCATAGGAGGCTCCAAGCCGAAAGTAGCAACGCCGCCGGTCGTCGATGCGATTGCTAATTATAAAAGGGACAATCCGACGATGTTTGCGTGGGAGATTAGGGACAGGTTACTGGCCGAAGGCATTTGCTCACAGGACAATGTGCCATCCGTCTCTTCCATCAATCGGTGAGTCGTGTTGACACTCTATTCTATATATATAAAGACAACAGTTTTAACCAAAAATGTCACTTCATCTCATTAATTGCCGGTGAAAGACAAGATTACGTTGTTCCCGATGACTACCCGAGGAATCGCGACATATGCTTTAACCGATCATCAGCGATAGGGGTGCGATCAGCTATTCGCGCGCACATAGAATTCGCGTGCACCCTCGCATGTGCATTGAGATAAGTACGCTCCGGCCTGTCACCCCGATCCTATTGACCTTTCGCAGGTTCCTTCGGGACCGGGCCGATTAATTCAAGTGTTTTTGCGTCGCCCGATGATGCGGCGGGCCAACGGAACACGAGTACTCTAGACTGTATAGGGCCGCCCTTACGAGAGCGAGGGGGAGTGAGCTCCCATGGGACAGCATTACAGCGTATCAGCACCGCACAAACTGAACGACTCGATCCCCTTTCGGCCAACTGAAAAGCTACAAGGGTACACAGCGAGAAAAGGAATGCGTGGATAGGTAGGTCGGGAAGGGGCAGAGAGAAGCGATCGAGAGAAGGAGACACCAGGGTACCATTGATCGGCTCGCATATGTCCCGAGATTTAATCAGTCACTACTTAAGACCTTATCTCCCGCCTGGTTTACAAGGGCCAGGCTATCTCTCTCCATCTTTCTCGCGCGTACGCAGCCGATAATGAAATAGAGCGTAATGTGAATCGAATTGCTGGCAAGTGAAATTCACTAACGCGATTTCTGTGGGCCGCAGCCGCTAATGGAAACACACGCAAATGAGTTAGCGCCCACGTAACAACGTAAGTACTATGCGCGGCCGCTTATTTAAATTCCGCGTCGCGGTTGCGCGCGAGAGATTAGCTACAATTACATTTGCGATATACTCTCCTCCGAGAATCTCAATCGCCGCAAAAATTCATTCTTTCGATTCAATCGTGAAATAGTAATCTTTGATTTAATTAATTTTTCCTTTCCCTTCTTTTTCACGATTTTCTTCGTACGATAAAGCTCAAGCTATAAGATAATTGTTACGCCACGAGAGAAAGTTTTAATAAACTCGCATAACAGTGGTTACCCAAATAGAAAGCAATTAACGTCTCCCCGTCACATTCCCTGGTGTTTCGTCAAGCTTACTTTGTCATCATAAGAGTTACCTCGCACATATTTTCATTCTTCCTCTATATTCGCGTCGTGCGGTCACGGTAGCGTGAAACGTGGGCGTGTGTAGGTACAGGAATTACTTTCTGGCCGAGGTTTTCGATGTGTCTAGGATTGCAGTCGAGGGTGCGGCGGTGGCTTGTTGCTCGAGTGACTCCTCCACCTCCGGCTCCACCTCCGGCACACGCTCTCGCCTGCCTCCTCCTGACTTCTCGCTCCCTCTCGTTTTCGCCTTCTCTTTTTGGCCAGAGTCTCCTTCTCGCCACTACGACTCCTTTTCCTCCTTGTCCCTATCCCCTGACTCGAGGCCCAGATGGCGGGTATTGATCTGAATCCGGAGAGCAGATCGCCTGGAAAAACTTACTCCGCGGATACTTACCTACCTACCAACCTACCTACCTACCTACCTATCTACCTCGCTCGCTATCTACATGCACCTATCCAACGTACCATCACCCACTCACGTACACCGAACCCGCAACCTTCCGCCCTATCCATTCGGTACAAGTAAATGCATTTCCGCTCGACGAGCAACGGATAGAAACGCGCGTTTGAGTCCCTTTAGAAAATGCCCACGCACTCAGTACTTCCCGCAGGCTAATTGTATAACGATTGATAACGAGAGAAAGACTTTAATTGATATTCCGCAAAGCGTCGAAGTGAATATAGTTTCTATCTGATAGACAGATATGAAATTCATTGAGATGACAATGCAGTTTCGAGAAGGGAAAACAAAATCGTCAAATGGCATGACGACGCAGAGATTGACATTTTATGACTTTATCTCGTATAAGCTTCACGAACAAATACTGCGACAATCGTAGACAATTGGTAAGGCAAAAGGGAACTGGAGATAGAAACGAGAGAATAGGAAATAAAAAAGAAAATCTTCAATCGATCGAATCGTGCTTTCATCGACGAACCTTTGGTGCAGCTGGAAGTTAGTTTAAAGAAAAGAGTGCAAAGAGAGAGAATGGTCTCGATATCAAATGGGATTTCGCCGCGAAGAAACAGGAACTGGGTGCATCATCGACCGGAGCGCGTAGTATACCGAGATTTCTCCCATTATGAACATGTCTCGGTTTTTCTAGCTTCGGGGTGGAGAAATAATGATACAGCTAATATAATGTATTGTCTTGCTTTGCCGGAGCACTTCGAAATGAGACCGTTCGCAAACGTAGGATAGAAAGAGAAAGAGCGAGAGTAAAAGAGTAGCATGGAAGTCGTGCGAGGTAAAAAAAGGCGGACCAGAAGAGCGAAATAATGGAGTGGTTTTCGCGAAAAATAACAGTTATATATCCCGTGTATGAGACAGGATTGAGGAGAGCGGAAAAATAGGCGAAAAACGGAGAGAAGATTGGACGCTAACAGTTCCGAGCCTCTTCTTTATTCGCTAAAGACGCCGACGCAGCGACTTCTTCCTATTGTTCTCATTGCGCGCTCTTTATGAAACGCAGAATGCTTGTCGTGATTAAAAAAGAACGTTTCCTTCGCATGGTTTTTACGAAGATAGCTTTTCTTTTTCTAGTAAAAGGAATTTCGTGTCCACAATTTATTTAATATATTTAACGGATGAAAAGAAGAAAATTAATTCGAAATCGTTTAATGTAAATATTAATGTAATTATTTCCAGTCCAGTGATCAAGAGGAAAATGAAAAAAATTCAGAATATTAAAAACATAAAATATCGTACACTGTCGAGGAAGCATCTATTACGAGAATATGACATCGACAAAGATGAAATCGGGAGTGTCTAAAAACATATATATATATATATAAAGAGAGAAGGATTGTCGAAGGAGCTACGGTGAATTTCGGGAGGAAATATTGATAGGCTCGGCTTCGGCTGCGGAGTCACGGTCGAGTAGACGACTTTCTACCGAGGTCTATCTTACACGTATACAAACTCGCAAAGGCCCACCGCCCCTCTCTCAAGCCATTCTCTCTCTCTCTCTCTCTCTCTCTCTCTCTCTCTCTCTCTCTCTCTCTCTCTCTCTCTCTCTTGCTTTCTTGGTGTCGATCTCTCTCTCCCTCCTTCTTAGTCGGAGGAGTCTCAGGAGCAGATCGATAAGGAGCGAGGTTCGCCCGAGAGCTTTACGCCGGGTTCACAGCCTCCTTCTTCTCGTTTCCTCAACGCAGCCCCCGACGTCACGCTCTCGCATGCCTCTCGCATTCGCCTCTGAAGCCGCAAGTTACGACAGAGTCAATATCAGAGCCAAAGGAAGAAGCCGCCGCTCCCTTGACTTCCTGTTGTTCCGGTCGAGAATCCTTCGTTCGCGGGATACTAGAATTGGACAATGTTTGAATTAGAAGTTGAGCTTAAAACTCCTTTATGCGATGAAGATTCAAGATCCATCGTCCTTCAAATATTAATAATTAATTTCACATAGTTACCGATTTTATTTTCTACTTTTCAAATGGTAAATTATACAATAAATTAAAATTTCATTCACACATAATAAGGTCCATTTAAAATAGAAGGATGAATAAGATCTAAAAGCGATCGCGGAGATCCCCGCACGATCGATCACATTTTCAGTCGTAACTTTAATTCGACGTAATGACCAGCGCGGCGACAACAGTTGGCAGAAAATCTGTCGCAACGAATCTCGCCGGAATTGTATCAATCTGTCATCGCTCTTTCATGCCGGTGCGCGGCAGCGTCGCTTCGTTTCTATCGCGCGACTCAATCTCCCGTCGAGGCGCAACCGGCTCTGCTTCGCTCTCCATTACTTCCATATCATTTCGCACCCCCGGAATCTCGAGGTGGTGGCACAGGAGCGGCCCGGGCCATATGGCTGGCTGCTCTCCTGGAGGACATAGAAAGACACAGAGGGACAGCCAATGGGATGGCTGTTACTTTCATGCCACTTTCGGCTTTCCGGCCGGCATCATCGCTATATCTCCCTGTTCATCTTTCGGTTATTAAATTACATCCCCATAAATAATGCTCTGCCTACCCCCGACGAGCTTATTTACCATTCCACTGGCAGTGCCGCGGGAGGACTCTTCTCCTCCAGGAAGCCGTCAAATCGTCGCATTTGTCATCTCGACTTCAACTTGTCTACCAAAGGAATTCGTTTTTCTATTTCGCAGAAAACTAATTCCTGTGACAAATCTGCGTTGATCTACATTTTATCTTAATAATATGAGAACATGCTCAAAAAAATTATAAGCTCAAGACGTCGCTTTAAAACGTCGTGGTAAAATGAGTTTTTGATAGAACAAAATGGTACTTTATATTTTCACTATTTATTTAGAAAAATATAACAGGATAGTTTTGACTATCAAGTTAAAAATCAAAGATTTCTCTCCTGGAAGGGTGATAGGATGTTGGTGTTTAAGCGAATAGCGGCACACACATGGCTGTAGGGAGAACAATATGGTGCACCATGGTCGTGGACTTCGTTAAAGCAGCCATATTTGCGGTGCGCGGGAGCGAAAGGGAAGGAGGCCCTCCTACATTATCCGGCACAGCAGCACCCTCGGGGGTGGGCGGAGGATCTGGGGGATGGTGCCTCCACGTTGGAAACGCCGGCAGTGGCGGCGGCGCGTATCCATAACCGTCCTTTGTCTGGATAACGCAATTATTACCGCGTTTCATCATACCCTCCGACCGAAATTAGCCCCAAATGAAGTTACAATTACGGGTTCTCCGTATCCTCCGTCAGCGAATGGAGGGAATTGCTACTTTGAGGTTGTACCTCGACAAGATATGGACGACGATAATGATAAGGACGACATTGACGATGAAGACGATAGTGACGATGACGATAATGACGACAATAATGATAATAACAATGACAATGACGACGATGACGACAAGAAGGATAACGATGGC